TATATATATATATATATATAAAATATTAATTAACAGAAAGGTTCTTCGCATTTGTGAGATATTATCTCTGAAATACACGATACGGTGGTTCAAAATATGAGTAGTTTTACGTAACATCAAGTAGGAATGTGAAATTTTGGATAAGTAATTCAGTAACATTTGAACACTTCAATGGTAGAAGATATTACGTCTTTTGCATTGTTTTTCTTCTTGGGGTTAGATATTATGTATATAAATCATAATTCTAATTAAAACTTAAATCGAATTCAATTAGTAATAATGTCTGTACTTAAAGCTAATCCGTTATGTTTAATATAATTCTTACTGTTATATTTTCTTCCCATCTGCTGTGTGTTAACAAAATGTAAATTGTGTGCAGGGTCTCTGGCACTTACACGAAAACCACGTAGTCCACCGTGATGTGAAGGGCAGCAACATCTTACTGACCAAAGAGGGGGAAGTGAAACTTGTTGACTTTGGACTTGCCAGGTGAGATAAATAATTCTTAAAGTCAAAGACCAATTGATGGATACAATTAATTACCCGATTTGGAATAATACATCAGTCCCATTTTTAGTAAAAGGGCGATTGATGGCTTGCAACTTCCGAGAATGTCCTCTTTTGACTCAAACGTCTTTCAATTAAAGGCTGCTCAATTAAAGTAAATGATTAGTGTTAATAAATAACATTACCTATGCTTATACTATATGTTTTTCAAAATATGTTTCGTGAGTGTAGTTGCTATGTTTTATTTGTGAATACACCGTCTCATTCCGTTATCAATATGATAATAAATATGTCACACTTCATTGTGTATATATTTATTTGTAATTCAAACACGCAGACCAGCCACACTTAAATTTTGGATATAAAGTCAATGAGCTGTTACTCTTTGATCAATGTAGCTGTCTAAAGAAAAGGAAAAAATGTAGTAGGATGCAGTTCCGTGGGTAACATTCATATTTTGATGTGTGCGTACAAAACACTATGCCGTGGCTCTCTTTGTAAAGAAAGCTAGGGGACAGAGTGCGAAAGAAACTGCGAGCTCAACTAAGCGTCTGCGTAGAGTAGTAAGTGTCCAAGGGGGCACAGAGGCCTGAAGCGCGACGCGTGGTGCGCAGGGAGCTGGCGAGCACCATGGGCAAGAGCGGCACCACGCTGGGCTCCCCGTGCTGGATGGCGCCCGAGGTGGTGGCCGCGCGCGACGCCGACGGCTACGACAACCGCGCGGACGTCTGGGCGCTCGGTGAGCACTCGCCCATCGCCCACCGGCCTCCCCTCCCCGCTCCCCGTCCCCCTCCCTATCCCCGCTCACCCTCTCCCTCCCCGCCTGCACCCTCTCCTCCCCGCTCCACTCCTCTCGCTCCCCGCTCCACCCTCTCCGCTGCCCCGCTCACATCCTCCCCCTCCCGCTCACCCTCTCCCTCCCCGCTCACGCCTCTCCCTCCCCGCTGCACCTCTTCCTCCCCGCTTCACGGACGCTCCTCCACTCCCCCGCTCATCATTCGCTCACTGTGCCTCCACGCTCACCCTCCTCGCTCCCACTCCAGCCGCTCCTTCTTTTCCCGTTTCTCCCGCTCAGCCTCCCCGCTCCCCGTCGCCACCTCACCCTCTCCATTCACAACCTCGCCACCGCTCAGACTCACCCCCCCACTCACCACTCCTCGCGTTAACCCTCTCGCCTCCCCGCTCACAACCTCGGCCGCTCTTCCCTCCGTTCTCACGCTCACCCTCACACTGCTCCGATCGTCCCCGTCCCTCACCAGCTGCTTCTACAGACCAGTGGGTCTACCGAGTCAAAAGAAATTATCTTTACAAGCTGGATAACCGGCATACGCTTTGTACTGGGCACAGAGTCTTGTTCTAACCCTCCTGATTTCTAGAAAGCCCCATTCTACTTTCTTCCTATTGCTCCAGAAAGTAAGTTTACGCGCTCTTCTCTGTACTCTTTTCAGATATTACTTTTGTGAGTTTCTACGAAAGTGTTCCAACAAATCGCCCCGTCTTCCATTAATGCACGAACCAGAGATAAGTAAGCTAAGTGCTTGTGCTTGTGCTCGCGGTTGCAGGCATCGTGGCGATCGAGCTGGCGGACGGGAAGCCGCCCTTCTACGACATGCACCCCACGCGCGCGCTCTTCCAGATCGTGCGCAACCCGCCGCCCGCGCTCTTCCGCCCCGCCAACTGGACGCAGATGTTCAACGACTTCATCGCAGAGTAAGCCACCCCCCCCACCCTCCGCCTCACTGGCGCTGGCGTACGACGAAAGCCAAAAGGAACATTTTCATATTTGAAAGAATTGCAAGACAAAATTCAAATCACTCACACAAGACTTACGCACCACTTCATCAAGAGTCAGAACAATTTTGCTCCACAGATCAAGTGTCAGAACAATTTTGTTGGTTACGCCATTGCAAAAGTAATGGCATTCATCTTGGTCACCAAAGTGACCAGTCAAATAATATTCTAAATTTATAAATAGTTTTCGATAGCATATCTACCATTGTCGGCTTGTAGGCACTGGGCGGCGAAACCATGTTCTGGCAGAGAAACGATGAAGAACATTGTCTTCTCAGTGGCTATTAGCCTGTTCTGATAATAATGGATTCATAATGGCTACAAAAGTGCTTAATATATTAAATTAAATTATTTGATAGGTAAACATCAGTGTTTCATTAATTTTAACGAAAGTATTAACTTTTCCAAAAGCATCTTAATAACGTTTATTGACAGAATTATTGATTTTTCAATTCATAAACTTTATCGCTTTCCTTATAAATGTTAGTAAATATACTTTAATTAATAAATTTGTCTTTTTATATTTAAATATTTACAGTATTATGAGGTGATGTGTAGTTACAAAATTAATTCTAAGGGGAACGCGCGGCATACCCAAACTTCCCATCTTCTCAGAGTTATTACGCAACAATTACTTACTTCAAAAATAGTGCATAGTGTCCTTTAAAGATCTATTTTGATGGATTATTTCTACCGAGAATGAAATCTCTGGCTTTAATCTCTGGTGGTAAAGGACAAGTTTGAAAATAAATTTGAACTTGAAATTTTCAAAATTTCAGGGGTTTTAATTATAAACACCGGAGCCGTTAAAATTCTTTTAAATGTGAATTATTCAATTTATTGCAATTTCTTCAATTCGAGAAGATAATTAAAGAAAATAATAACAACCATTTTAAAGAAACGTTTGAAAATATCAGAGTCATTAGGTAAAATCGCCCTCAAAACTTAAATATCTTTGAAACCTCGAAAACGACACAAATAGGGCGCACTTTACCTCATTTACCACGTTTGAACTTGAAAGCATCTAATCAGTTAGTTGTGCCTGACAGATACTTTCATACATACAGACAGACCTCGATTTTCGGAAACGGAAACTTAAACGCGGCTTTTACGACTGAATATACGAGATGTATTTTTTGTGGATATTCTAATAATCCTTTTATTTCATACAGTATATGGAGGAAACGTCACAAATATAAATGAAACGTTTTTCAGTTAAAAATCTGTTGAAGTACTATGAGATCCATAATGAATTTCACCACAAATTTACGTACTATTTGAGAAAATATAATCGGTAATAAATTGTCAGTATTTTTTTATGATTTTATAGATGCTTGACAAAGAACCCTGAGCATCGTCCGTACATGGTTGAAATTCTGGAGCATCCATTTTTGACAGAATTGCAGCAGAATGACTATACTGTAAGTAAAATATTGTTACGCTGTGTAAATGGTTTGGGGTAAATGTTACAAACTTGTAGGGATTGCAGGGGGTCAAAGGAGATCAGTTTTTGCGAATGATCGTCGATGGAGAAATTTCTTTAAATAGCGTTTCTCCTAGATAAGTAGGCAACGAATCCTTGGAGGTTTGGCAGGTACAAAAATCTATTTTACGTACAATTCAGAGACTAATCAGTGATATATTACATGTATATATTCATTGTATGCAATTTACCACTATTTTTATTCGCAAAATGTTATCATCTTCGAACTCGTGATGCCCAAGAAGTTAGTAACATTTATTGCGAATCATCATTACTGGCACTATAACTCCCTGGAGTCTTGGCCTCCAGGATGACCCTCTTCCATCCATCTCTATCCAGGGCTGCACACAATTATCCATCGCCGGGTCATCTCCCAAAGAAAGATTGTCCGAGGTTTTTCTTTGACTTTGCAACTGGAATTTGTTTTCCAGAAAGGACAGTTTATCCTCATGACCTGACGGACCATGAGTTTTGATTTCAGGCAACTCTTGTCCTATAGTAGCACCCATTAGGCTTATGGAGCTCAGTTAGCCCCATTCTTTAGGTCAGTTCCTTCCCCCGCTGGCCGATGAGATTCTTCTTATTGTGTCACCCTAACGTGAACGTCCTCTTCTTGCGTTTTTTCTCGTCTGATCCGTATCCTTTGACCTGTCCGGCAAGGGAGGCCCTACTGGTAGTTTAGCCACCGTTAGTTTAGCTCTCTGAGCCACTGGGATACTCAAGACACCACCGACAAGATCCTGTTGTCATTTTTGCAATATTTGCATGTCCAAACCCCTGAGTAACCACGGGCCAATAGTCGGTTTCAATAGCCTCCCCCACCCACGCTGACGCTCCGTTTGCTCTGGGCACCAACTGATGTCACGGCAGTGCATCTAATCGGGAATGTTTAGGCTGTGAGTCCACGGTTGCAGGATTTTTCGATATAGCTTCAGAGCTGGTCGAAGGTCAGGCGATGGCTGGAGGAGAAAGAAACAGGGACACGGACTCGCGCGCGTTTTGCCTTCCTCTTCGTGTCCTATTTTCACCCTTACCTCATTTACCATTAAGACATTAACTACCACACATTCTGGTAAATGGTAGGGAGCTTTTAGAGTTTGGGTCCCGGCTTGAGGGTTCCCGCTGTCGGAGATACGTGTTTGGGGAAAACGCCACAAGCCGACGTATTGGTGCATGCGATCCACTATCCCACCCGGGGAAACCAACTCCAACTTTTCGGTGGAAAAGCTATTCACTATCATTAGGAACTAATGACATAGCCGCTTTTCACGCTTGGAAATAAATAATAATCAAATCGACCTCCTACATTAGGAACATTTATTGTGAGTCATTCCAATATTATCAAGCGTCAAACGGCACGTTTAATATTGCTAACGGCCCGCCGGTGAGTTTGCAGCTGGCAGCAGGAGCTGCGCGTGCTGAGCGCGTCGGCGGCGAGCGCGGGCGCGGGCGGCGGCGGCGGCCGAAGTGGGGTGCGCGGCGCGCTGTGCAGGCCTCGCACCGGGCGCGAGCCGCTGCGCGTGGTGAGGACCTTGGGGCGGCTCCGAGCTCGCTGGTGGGACGTGAGCCATGCTGCGAGAGCTTGCTCGAGCGCTTCCGGCCGCGGCGAGCCTACAGCGTTTCGCCGGCGACGTGCTGGCTCGCGCTGGGGGCCCTGCGGAGGCGGCGACGACTGCACGCCCGGGTGAGGCCGCAGGGCAACGACTCACATACTGCACTTATAATAATAATAATAATAATAATAATAATAATAATAATAATAATAATAATAGAACAAAGATTACTTCATGGAATCATGCACTTACAAATACTTGGGTTTCCAAAGTCACTCGCGATCAAACACACTGTTACTAAGAATAATACTAACAAATGAAGTGTGTAAATCGGATTTGCTGGGGCTTCTTAAACTACTCTCTGCTAGAAGCTTGTGCGGCATCAATTCACATGTTTGTTATTCAGTGGCTGACATACTTCCTTTGGCGTTATTAAATGGAGATACTCGAGCGCTCGACAACCTTCAGAGAAAATTGAACCGCTATGACTGCACACAGGAGAAACATCATCCCATGTCAAGTACTGGAGGCGTTTTACCTTAAGGGGTCGCAGGAGGGCGAGGTATTGTAGATGCTCATAAATCTTTTACACAGCTTTCTCAAATTGCTTCACTAAGAAGATACTTTCTTTGGAAGCATTTGGGAGAGTTCAGCAAGCAGTGAGGCGCAGTTGATAATAGACTATAGTCCTTGAACTTGAAAAACTTGATTTCGCGCCTGTTCAACCGAATCATTGAAAGACGGAAGGAGAAGATCAACCTTATGGAAGCAAAGGCACTGGCATGGAAGGTTTACGCTACACGAGATGAGTAAACGCAGAAAGTCGCCATCTCTGCGTCGCACGCATGGTTCCAGCACGGGGATCTCTTTCCGGAGACAGAAGCCCTTCCATGATAGCTATCGCATGGACCAGTGGTTACAACATTGAACTACAGAAAACAACATTCTGGAGAGATTCTGACATTCATTGTCGCTCGTGTGAGATGTGAGGGCTGCACAGGCGAAATATCCAACAACGTGACAAGTGGATGTAGCGCCGAGCCGCAGGTGGAATACAAAAAGAGGCATGATGAAGTGGCGAAGGAGGTACACCAATTAATTGCAATTGAGATACGGGCCTTACTCGCACACTTCCGTGCGTATTATAAATATGTGCCTCAGATGTGCTTGAAGTAGGTGAGGCACACACTCTACTGGGATCGTTCCATTATGCATGACAGACGTGTCGGCGCAATAGACCGCATTAACGTACATTGATAGAAATCCAAAGCAGGTTTTCTTACGCGATATATCAATACAATACCCACAACATATCGGAAAATTTATGCAAAGAGAAGATCAGAAAGTATACCAATCTTCGCCTCTGAAGTCGCAACTCAGTGGAACTTCAGTAAAGTGACGACTGTGCCTATCATAATATCAGCTACGGGATTATCGAAAATGACACTTCGGGCACTGGAGTGTCTTTCACTTGGATACAGGATGTAATGCAAAGGATCAGTAATTTTGAATACAATACGTATTGTGCGAAGCCATCTGAACTTTCATAAGGTCAACCACACTGCTAGTGGTCCCTATATACATGTGTGTGGTTGACATACTGACAGTAGATAGCTGGTGAATAAATGTAAGAAATAATAATTAATAAGTAATAATAATAATAGTAATATAATAGGTAAATAGTAATAATAGTATCTAGTAGTTTATCTGTGAATGTTTCGTCTGACTGCATTAGCAGCAAATGACAGACTAAATATTAAATAATAGATGTTTCGTTTTAGCTGAAATTGAAGCAGGTTATGAATGCAGACATTTAAATAGCATCATCTATGTCAAGTAAACAGTAATTAATAATCTTATGCTATCACGTAATTTATATTTCTTAAGACATTTTGCATTAGAATACAATTACGGCATTTTGTCGAGGTTACGTAACCTTTATTTACATGTCGATAAATGAGGACAGTCGGTTCAAACAGGACCGTCGCTTACGGCTGACATAGTAGCGAAACCGAAAGAATTCCGGTTTATTTGTAATCTGCAAGCAATCAGATTGATCATCATTAATTCAGTATTTGCGTATCAGTTTGATTATAATATCCTGAAGACAGATATGTATCAAGTTATTCAAGCAAGCAAAGCATTTTTAAACCTGAGAATTTTATGAGTCATGAATACGTGTTTTATACAAATCGAGTAGGGTCTGTGTCTGGCAAAACTGTTTATTGAATGTAACAACGAATTTCATTTTTAATAGATGATGAAATAAAAATACGACATCAAAATTCTCACGTCCTCAGAAAAGAAATACTTACTAAGTTAATTGTTCTATAATAAGTTAATTTACGCTTTAAGACTTTTTTGTTGTATTTTGGACCTCGTTCCGGAATGAACCATATCGAACAAACATCGGTAAGTTTCCGAGAACTCGTTTTTCGACGCATGCTGAGAACGTGGGAGAATGGGGTCGGTAAATATTAATACCTACTAGCGATCAATCAGAACAATGAAATGAAATCGAACGATTATTTACCGTTTGCAATTACTAATACGACAACGAAGAAACATGGGTTAAAGTTGACAAAACCATGTATCTGTAAATGAAGTGCTGTAAGAATGTGAGATACGCCATACCGATTAATTTTGAGGGCAGCTGATAGATTTGTGACTGGGACATGCGTTTGTTGTGCGCAGTACAGCCAAATCCAGTTAAGTCGCGTCGGACAACGGCCGCACCGTTCGCCGTGGCGGACGCGCGCTGCAGGACGCGCTGCACAGACGAGGAGGCGCAGCACGTGGTTGTGGCCGGGGAGGCGTGCTCGGGCAAGAGCGCGCAGCTGCGGCGATTTCTCGCATTCGCCTTCCTGGAAGGTAGGCACGCCCCTACAACACTTCCAGCTCTCAGATGATTTCTCGGGAGTAGTTCTAACATCTGCCAGCTGCTCGCACACTTCACTTCTTCGGGATAAGATACAGCTACGCACCACGCACACTGCTGCGCAGCCTCAGATGATTGTCTTACATGTATAGAGTTAGTGCTAACATTCAGGTGCACGTGCGTCATTCGCCTTCGCTCGGAAAGATGCAGCTCGCTCCACACTCACTCCGTCCTCAGATGATTGCTCTCCAGAGTAGTCTCTACTCTCGGTGCACGCGTCGTCCACTTCGTCTTCCTCAGAAAAGATGGCAGCTTGCTCCACCATCACTCCAGTCCTCCAGATGATGCTCTCCAGAGTAGTCTGAAATTGCGCTGCAGCGGCCGTCCACTTCGCTTCCTGCGGAAGATGCAAGTTCGCTCCAATCACTGCAGTCTCCAGATGATTTGCTGCTAGAGTAGTCTAACATTGGCTTGCACGCTCGTCCACTTTACTTCCTGAAAGATATG